ACTTAGAATTGAGTAAATCTGAATCCTACTTGCTGTCTCGAAATATTGTGGGAAGAACACACAGGGCTCCCTTGTCACTTGAAAACTCTGTGCATTTTCCACCGCAGCTAACTTACAATGAGATATTTAATTAGGCCACTGAGAATTTTAAAATCATAATCAAAATCACAACAGGCGGTGTGGTGCTTAATTTAAATGTTTGGAGATCTACTTTCTTGAAATTTTAAGTCTACAATCCTATATTGTTTGCAATAGGCACTAGGTAGGACAGCAGATCTCTAGAACTTACTCATCTTACATAGCTATGGCTTTATACCCACTGAACAAGTCCCCATTTCCCCATTCCCATCCCCTGGCAACCACCACTCTGTTTTCCGCTTCTGTAAGTTTGACTATTTCAAACACATCTCATGTTAAGTATCCCTAACACACACACACAACATACACACACACACACGCAAAGGGAGGCATGGATATGTTCGTGACCTTGACTGTGGTGATGGCATCATGGGTATACACAAACTCATCAAATTGTATATATTAAATATGTGCAGTTTTTTGGTTTATCAATTATACTTCAATAAAGCCTTAAAAAAGTTTAGTAAAAATATAGAAAGATCCTCCCCTCCCAAAGTTTTTTAAATTCACTGGAGGACTTCCATTTTTTAAATCCATTTTCTCTGTTTGAAATAATAACATCTCTGTGTACATGAATAAGAAAAATAATGATTCAGTTGTCAAAAAATCAGAGTAAAAATCACATAGCTTAAAAAAAATACATGAATCATGGGAAACTTCTCTGATAAATAAAACAAGAAAATTTAAAGATGTGCTTTGCAGTAAAAGAGATAAATTATGGCTGTAATTGAAAAATCTCCAGATGGTGGGAATTTGGCATGCTATTATTCTTTGAAAGTATGTTCCTACCTAAGGGAATCGAACCAACTTGCTTAATTCATTAATTAAAATGTACTAATTGATAAAAATGAGGACACAGTTTCTATTTTCTAAAAGCTACAATATTAAATAATTAGCCTCAATTTATCATTCTTCCTCCACTTCCCACCTTCCCTTGTAGGAGTACATGCTTATGTGTGCTTAAGGACTAAAACATACCCAATACCTCTTAGAACAAGTCTGATAAAAGAAAACCAAAGGGCACAGAGGACAGGTAACAAAAGCATGTGAGATTGCAGACCAAACAAAAAGATGACTTAGACACAAGGACAAATGATGATGAAAGAAGGCAAATACAGCAAACACAAACCTCTGAATAATAATGCCTACAGATAAATCATTTGTTTGATGATTATAGAAGTCAATGAAAGGAGTTTGATAAATGGTAAGCTCATAACACTAAGCAAAATGTATCAAGAAAAGCTGAGTATTGAAATTGTCACTATTGGTGGGCGAAGGGAACCCCTGTTATGCTCCTGGTAGGAGAGTATATTGGTACATTTTTTCCAGAGAATATGATTTGCTTGGGCAATTTTTTTTATTGAAAAGCTTTAATATATTGGTAGGCATTTAGATGTACATCTAACCAATCCCCCCTCCCCCCCCCCCAAAACCCTGTTTGTTTCTCAGGTCCATAGTCTCTCATGGAGAACCGATGGGCCTTGTAATTGCTTTCCTCACTCATGTAAGCACAGCTGCAGCTGTCATTCATGAATGGCAAAACTAATCCTTTATAAGTTTTCATATTGGCCATTTGCTTTAAAACATCCAAAGCCAATGAATTTGCAAAGATAGCTCTGTGAGAAAGGAAGGGTCTCCGACCACTGGTCCGAACACTGGACCAGCTCTCATAAATCCCTGGTCTTCATTCTCAGAATTCTCATATTTTGTTATGATTCCCTGGGAAATCACTCCATTCATTCATCAATACCTCCATTTTCCTGCGAGGAAACTGGAGAAGCTTATTATTTATCTCTAAAGTACTTTAAAAAGCTTAAATGAACTATAAAAATAATAAAAAGTCTTCTAATTCCGTACATAATATTCAACGCCTTTTTAACAAAATAAACTTTAAATATGTCCCATTGCTTAAATATGGTAACTAATACATTAGTGAATCTCTAGAAAGGTAAAAGACAAATATGTGTTTGTCAGAGTTATCAAAGGCTGGTATCCACAATAATTAAAATCCACCATAATTTTCTTATCCTAACACCATATTAAAAAATTTAGGGACAAATGAAAAACAACTGGTAATATATAGTGATTTTCTATGTTTGAGAGATACTTTATAGGCTTTTCTTATTTTTCCATCATAAATTTGTTATTTTTAAACAATGAATGAATGAATAACAGTAGTCTGAAGGACACTGATTTTTAATCTTTGTTCCTTTAAAAGCGTGACAGGCTTACTCAAGCTCTCTAATGATGATATTTATTAATGCAGGTAGAATAGTAGTTTCCATGTGGGGCTGCTGGTGAAAAGCGGTCAAGTCAGAAATAAAATTTATGAAATGAAAATTTCCTTCTACCCATACCCTAACCTTCTACTTTTAATCAGTAGGGATACATAGCAGAATATGGGAAAATAACCTATGATACAAATAATCTCGGGGACTTTGTTTTCTATGTAAAGAAAACTCTAAATAGTAAAAAAGACAAATGGTAACAAATAACAGGAAAGATGTAAGGAAACTGGAACCCTCATGTACTGCTGGTGGGAATGTAAAATGGTGCCCCCATTTTAAAGACAGTTTAGGTATACCTCAAAAAGTTAAACAGAGTTACCATAAGGCCCAGCAACTCCATGTATATGTATATACCCAAGGGAAATTAAAACACATACCCACACAAAAATTTATACATGAATGTTCATAGAATATTATTCATGATGGTCAAAAAACATAAATAACCCAAATGTCTACTAATAGATGAATGGATAAATATTTGTGGTATATCCACACAAATGAATATTATCCAGCCATCAAAAGGAATGAAGTACATGGATAAATCTTGACAACAGTATGCTAAGTGAAAAAAAGCCAGAAACAAAAAGATCACATATTTTATTATTCCATTTATATGAAATATCCAATTAGGCAAATCCATGGTGACAGGAAGTAAATCAGTGGTTTCTAGGGGTTGACGGGAGAAGAGAATGAGGAGTGACTGGTAAGGCATGCAGGATTTCTTTTAGGGGTGATGAAAATGCTCTGGGATGAGATAGTGGTGAAGGTTGCATAATTTTATAAATATACTAAAACCCACTAAGTTGTATACTTTAAAAGAGTGAATTTTATGGTATTTGAATTATATCTCAATAAAAAATTTATTTTTCAAAGAGAAAACTGCAACATAAATTAAATTTCTGATCTAACATTCAGGTAAAAGGAAGTCTTTCTCTTTTTCCTCTTTCATGAGCAAAATTTGTAATAATTTCAATTATCAGTTCCTCCAAAGGCATATTTCATATTAACTTTGCCATTTCCATGTGAGAGGTGAAAATGCATTTCTTACTTTGATAAATAAAAAATAATGGAACCAGCTTTCCTTTAGATGAATTCTTCTTTCTCTTCCAATTTGTACTTGATCTGGAACCAAGAGCACACCCGAGGCTATGTGCCTTCTAAAACAACATAAGCTTATTCACAGCTGTCTGTTTATAGGATGCTTTTTCAAAAGCCAACAATCTCATTGCAACGTTAATGAGTTTCAGAAATGTCGGTGGACAGTTAAATGGTCTCATTTGGAAAATTTTGAGCAAATATCCAAACTTTTTCTTAAAAAAGTATACTCTTAATCCCATTTATCTATTTCACTCATCACCTCCACCCCCGCCCCTCTGGCAACCACTAGTTTATTCTCTGTAAGAGTCTGTTTTCTTGTTTCTCTCTTTTTTTTTCTTTGTTCATTTGTTTTGTTTCTTGAACTCCACATATAAGTGAAATCATACGGTATTTGTCTTTCTCTGTCTGATTTATTTCATTTAGCATTATACCCTTTAGATGCATCCATGTTGTTGCAAATGGCAAGATTTCATTCTTTTTTACGGCTGAGTAATATTCTATTGTGTATATACACCACATCTTCTCTGTCCATTCATCTATTGATGAATGCTTAGGATGCTTTCATATCTTGGCTATTGTAAATAATGCTGTAATAAACATAGGCATGGATACATCTTTTTGAATTAACATTTTCATATTCTTTGTATAAATACCCAGTAATGGAATTACTGGATCATATAATTCCATTTTTAATTTTTTAGATTTTTAATTAAACTTCTGTTTTCCACAGCGGCTGTACCAATCTGCAGTCCCATCAACAGTAGACACAGGTTCCTTTTTTCCACATCCTTACCTACACTTGTTATTTCTTGTCTTTTTTATTCTAGCCATTCTGCTAAATGTAAGGTGATACCTTATTGTGGTTTTGATTTGCATTTCTCTGATGATTGAGCATCTTTTCATATGTCTGTTGGCCATTTGTATATCTTCTTTGGAAAAATGTCTATTCAGATACTCTGCCCATTTTTTAATCAAACTATTTGTGGTTTTTTTATTTTGTTTTGTTTTGGTGTTGAGTTTTATAAGTTCTTTATATATTTTGGATACTAACCCCTTATGGATCTATCATTTGCAAATATCTTCTCCCATTCAGTAGGTTGCCTTTTTCTTTTGCTTCCTTTGCTGTGCTAAACTGTTTTGTTTTGTTTTTTTTAATGTAGCATTGAACTGACCTGAACTAAACTGAAATTGAACAGACCTCAAAGCTAAACTGATGGTATGAGTAAGAGTGAGAGAGAGAGAGAGAGTGTGTGTGTGTGTGTGCATATGCGAGACAGAGAGGAAGAAAGAGAGAGATTATATTTCTCCATGTACTTCCAGTAATGGAAATTGGATGTACTGTTAGTTCTAAAAAGACTAATCTTTTCTTATCAAGGCATCTCAGCTATCTGTTAAATAAGATACATGTGAACTGAATGCATTTGACTCACTCATAAGATTAGGAGGTGGGGACACAGCCTGAGAGCCCTCACTTACCCCTTCCAGAGCAAGGCAGATTGGAGCTTCCTTGGCACTTCCTGATGCTCTCCTCTGCTGACAGTGCGCAGGAACGTGGGTGCTCACACTTTTTCCCATACCAGCCTACTTTGCAGTCACATCTGCCACAATTACACTGCCCATGACCTTCACAATGAGAGTGTAAAAAAATATGAAAAAATAGACAATGAGGTCAGAATTAGTTTTCATTTCAACAGTGAATATCACAGATGAGCCAAGATCTTAACACCATATTAAACACTAAAGTGAAGGCACATTTATCTCAAGTTCTTAAATACCTGATTTATATTGATGGATCATGAGGGGTAAAGAAAAGCAACTACTCCTGATAAGATAAATGGGTTCGTAGGACTATAAACGTGAATCCATCAAAATCCGGGTGCACGTGATTGTATTGGTCTGCTGGGGCCTAACTGGAGTATTTGATGGATTTGGTAATTAATTCATGTGGAGGAGAGCCATAGGAAACTGAAAACAATTTGCTGTTGAAACAGGTCTTATCTTGTGGAGTCCCCCACACTTTTCATTACCTTTTTTTCCATATACTACATGCTTAGCCTAGGGACTCTTGCCCTAAAACCAATAACCTCTGTGGAGTTCACATTCCCTGAGGATCGATGTAGTATACACAAAAGAGGTCAGGAAATATATTAAACTTCTTTACACATGGTCACAGAGCCTATAACGAATTGTGATGAGTAGTGATATGGTTTCGCAAAAAAATGGCCTATGTTATCAATCAAATAAATGGGTTCAAATCCTGGTCCTGCTATCTATAAAGTAGATATGTCAACACATCCGAGGCTTAGTTTCTTAATTTTTGACTAAGAAAATAATACATTATCTATCACATTTATCAGGAAGTCCATAATATATCTTAAAATGCTACATAAAAGTGAGTTATTGTTATTTTTATTCAAGTCCACATACGTAAACAAGTAGGAATAGAAAGAAAAGCAAGAAAGCCGAGCTTTTCTTAATTCCTAATCAACATTCAGATAGTCATTATTACAGATGCAGGACACTGTGGATTTCTAGAATTGCTGCAAAAATGCATGACACTTTTTTATTTTAAGTAGGCTCCACACCAAATGTGGATCCCAATGTGGGGCCCGAATTCTTGATCCTGAAATCAAGACCTGAGCTGAGATCAAGAGTTGAATGCTCAACCGACTGAGCCACATAGGCACCCCAAAAATGCATGAAAAAATTTTAAAGGAAGTGGAATTATATTTTCTTGAAGTAAACTGAGTATGATGTTAATGGATGAAAATCTCTGCTATTTTGTCTTTGGCATCTGATATTAACATAATTCATACAATATGGAAACTGTTCTTCAGTACAGACCAGCCCTGTTTTATCAAGAGTCCCTGAGGTTTGTGGGCAGATATCTATCTTTTGACTTGGACGAACTGGACAATCCACATATCGGGAAGCTTTTCACCATCTATTAACCTGGTTCTTCATGAAATAGATCATAAAATTATAGGTCAAAGTAGAGTGAGATATTAGGGATCAGTGAATCCAAATTTTACATTTAATGCTATGTTCAATTCAACATACATCTATTGATCCCTTACTATGCAACAGAGTCTAAACAACGAATTCCTGTCACCATTAATACTCTGCTTCGAGCTCATCATTTTAAAGGAAAAGAAAATTGTGCTTGCTAATAAATATGTATGACATGTCAATGTGATCATTGAAACCTTTAAATATAAGAGTTTTTATTATACTAGTTTAACTTATTGGCAATTATATGTCAGAGGTTGTTTGGCTTCGTGGCTTTTTGCCAATTTCCCAGAAGTTCCTACCCTTCTTCTCCATCCTCATGTAATTTAAAGCAAAATTTCCAAACAGAGCTACATTGCAAAGACATAGATACATAACAATTCTAAAACAGATTTCAACATTTCAAGTACAATAAATTTGGCTGTTTATAGAAGCCAATGGCTTTGAAGACAAGAGGTCTCATTCCTAGGACACTTAGATCTACAAGGATACTGGACAAAGTACAGAACATGCTGCCATTGGTGAGAGACTAGTTGATACTTTAACAAGAACAGTGAAAACAGTTATATTGAAGGGGGGGAAAGCTTTACTTTTAAAAGTTGCAAATAGGGCGCCTGGGTGGCTCAGTTGGTTAAGCGACTGCCTTCGGCTCAGGTCATGATCCTGGAGTCCCGGGATCGAGTCCCGCATGGGGCTCCCTGCTCGGCAGGGGGTCTGCTTCTCCCTCTGACCCTCCCCCCTCTCATGTGCTCTCTGTTTCTGTCATTCTCTCTGTCTCAAATAAATAAATAAAATCTTTAAAATAAAAAAAATAAAAAAAATAAAAGTTGCAAATAGCTCTGAACATTAGAAGAAAATATTCAGTAGGAAAGGATGCCAAGCAGTCCCTGACTACCCAGGACACCGCCACCACACACCCAGCATGCAACCCCGGTCCCCAGGCGTGGAATGAAGCAGGAGCTTCATTCTCCCTGCACAGGGAGAGCAGTGACTGAAGGCAGAACGTTCTCAACTTCTGTGGTTGGAATATAGGCTTCAGCGCAGCCATTAGTTTCTATCTCAGGTTCATTCCCATGTCAACATTTCAAACAAAACTCGTGGTGGAGTGAAACGAATTCATGGAGACTGTCAGAAGTTATGAAGAAGATTTTTAGAGTTAAGATCTGGTCCCACTAATAACAAAAGAAGTCAGAGGAACTGTGGATGCCTTGACACATTTTGGGGAAAAAAAATGTAGCTGCTCTAGAGCTAGAAGAAATCTCTGAAAGTCTCTCGCCATTATGCTCCAGATTCACTCTCTGTTTTCTATCATACTGGTTTCCTCACTCGGTTTTTAATCTCTATGCTTTCCTCCCTAAAGTTATGCCTTTTTTTCTATCTCTTCACTATTTCTGTGCTCTGATACAGGCACTAGGGGGAAAAGCAGCCTATGCGGTCCTCCACCTCTATTTCCTGTGTGTTTAGTGCAGCATCATGAACATTCTCAAGAATCAGTCCTATAAGTTTGTGCATCACCTCTAGGCATTGCCAGCTCCAACCACAGCTGGGAAGAACACATACAATGTGTCCCTCACTTTTGCCACATTGTGTGATGAGCCCTAACCTCCTGTGTCTTCTGCCTCAGCCTCAGCCTTCACCCCATCAAAGTCCCCTCGATAACCCCACTGTAGTCCATTGCTTAGGCACTGGAATAAATTAATGAGACAGTGTCACTGCTGTGATTGGCTGCAGAATGAAAGATTTTGCCTCTAAATAGGAAAGTGTCACAGTGGGAGAATATTATTTAGGTCAGGATGGCCACCGATCCTCCTCAAATCACCTGCTTAGGAGTCTCTTCTACACTCTGCCCTCTGAAGTCGACATCCATTGAACAAGTTTGGTCTGAGGAAAGAAGGGTTATTAAAATATGAATGACCTAAGTCAACCATCTATAATGAATGAAATTGCTGAGTCAGTGAATGCATGGCAACCACTTTAAATGGTGACAGCAGGGATATATACTGTTTCTTAAGGGTTTTATTGTTTTGGGAAAGTAGAAATATCTAAATCAAATGTCCTAGTGAGGATCACAGAGAAGCAAATGTGAAAGTAATAAAGAAAGTTTAAATAATTCTAGTCTAATAGGATTAGGTTAAAACATAAACATAACTTTTAACTTTAAATTTTACTTTTACTTTTATGGTAACGAAGATTATAGCCTCGTGTTCAAGTATATTTCAGAACATTACGGATCTCACTTTAAATGAAACTGTACCTTTTCTATAAAATCCTTTATGATATTTCATCAGTGGAGTTAGGAAATCACTTAAAATGCATGGTATTGATATCAGATTGTGAAGCTGGCATTGAGCCTTTCAGGGAAGACAGGAAATCATAAAATGCAATTGCAATTTCTCTCCTGGAGTTACTAGTTTCTCAATTTCAGTATAAAAGTTATGCCAAAGAGGGAGAAAAGGGATCATTTTATAGGGATAAAATGAAGAAGATGAAAATGCTTGGTGTTGATATATAAAAAAGAGTTTAGAAATGGTAAGATCTGTTTAGCATGAAAATCTTTTCAACTGCCATAATATACTATAGCAAGTCTTTTCCAAACAAACAGTGAAAGATGCATAAAAGAAGAAATTAGGAGATTTGTGTCCTTAGTCTAAATACTAAGTCCACCTTTCTGGCCCTCATCTCATTTTATCTTTAAAATGACAGAATTAGAAGAAGTGAATTTTACCACACTGAAATTTCATACTTCCATGCTAGTTTGTCAGATAGATAGATAGATAGATATGGCCTCCAGGTGTTGATTTCATTGCTTCTAACAAGTATTCCTTTAAACTCTGTAGGCAGAGGATCAACAAATACAGAATGTTGTTGTTTATCCCTGATAGGAAACATGTGAAGAATGCACATTAGAGAATAGCTTTCAGAAGACCTATGACCTGCATTAAACACACACACACACACACACACACAGCAATGAAAGAACAACATGGGGCCCACATAGTGGGATCGCAGCCCAATCTGTACCACACTGGCAGGCAGTTGGCAACATGGCTAGACACCCAGTGGCACCATGGCCATGGCCATGCTGGGCATGCAGGAGCTTTAAAGGCTCTCAGGCCATTACAGGAGAGGGTGATGATACCAAAACTTATTTTTTCTTTGTAATCATTGTGCTCTTTGGAGTGAAGTCATCTCAGAAATATCAATCCAGGACGAATGTAGTTGCTCCATTCCAGACAAACATTCTTCTGCTGTAGAAGATATTCTTTTTTTTAAACTGATCAAAACTTCTCTTGAACTGGAATCTGACTTTTACAATTAGCTTCTTATGAAGTAAGATGAGGACCATTAATAGGAAAAGTTTGGGGGAACAAATTAGATCTAACTAGTACTTGTTATTTAAAAAAAAAAAACCCATTTGATATATTTATTTGATTTTTCTTTCAAGACAATGCAAACTGAATGTACTTAATCATGTCCTTCAGTTTCTTTCCATAATGCTTTGGGAACCCGCCATGATAAATTCCCCCACACAATATGGTCCTATCAAATGATTCCATTTTCCAAATTAGTGGAACGCTAAGCCAGGACTAACTTTCTATTTTCACCATTTTGATAGGCAGACCAAGTTGAAAAATAAAGTTTAAGGTCACACTGTGGCATATTTTAGCAGTTACGGGTTTCGGGGAAATAGACCAGAGTATAAATAGCCATCAGGAATAAAAGTTATTTCAGGACCAGGAAGTAAACTCAGTGGAGCAGCTCAAAGAACAGCAGTAACAAACAGCGCCGCTGGTACACTTCGGGAGGGTTGGTCATGCCCTGGTCATTGTAGTTACGCTCAAATTTTGTTAATAGCAATGTCTCTGAGGTGTTGTGTATGTTGTGTATGTACGTGTATCTGAGTGTGCACATGAATTATATATGTGTATATGTGAGTTGTCACAAACACACACACACACTAAGTGGATGATGAACGACAAATAGGAATGAAAGAAGAAATAAATAAAACTGATTTATTTGGGAGCAGGGAGCAGGTTTTAAAATACTTGTGTCTTTTGTATCCACAATGTAATAGGCACAAATATTTATATTTTAGTGCATTATTGAATAGATGAATGGACTCACTGGGAATGAATGAAAACAATGAGAATGTCAATTGAAAGAGCAACTTCAACCAACTCACCAGGAGATTTCCCTGGGACTCAAATAACAAAAACACCCTGAGGATGGCAAGAATGGGAGCGAAATACAAAGCTGCACTTCATCTGAGCCTTCTTACATCCCAGCCTTGCATAAACCACTAGAGAACATTGACATAGTTGGGTCACTCCCGTCTCCTAACACAGAGGCACTAACATCCTCAGCAGTCAGCTGCGTGGCATCCTTCCCGTGGTGCAACTCCGACAGACAAGTAAGACAATTGTGAAGACTAATAAATCACTTAACAGAATGTCTAGAATTCGACGGGTTTCCTGAGAATGAAGAAATCCCAGAGATGGGTGGCCTGCCCCAGATCATAACGACATTCAGAGAAGCTTTGTTTTATAAGAATTGTGAGCATCCAGAGGACAGTTCTTCCTTACCAAAATAAAGTAAAATTGAAGAAGTTTGTTTGCATCACTTGGAGATCAAATCACATGAGTACTTAGGTTCTGTATGTGTTTCCAGGCGACACTTAATGGCTGTGTGAACTCTGTCAAGTTACTTAAGTTTTCGGAACCTGTTTCCTCTCCTGTTAAAATGCAGATAATAATGTCACCCCCTCTGAGTGAGGGTGAACATAAAATGGAATGAGGGGTGTGAAATGGGCTAAAAGAGTGGGGTCTTGTCTTGTTGTCTGAACCACAGCCTCTTGCTCCATCCCTTCTTCCCACTGCCAGGGGTCTGCCCCCATAGTGCGGAGACCACAAGTAAAGGGTTAAGCATTCTTCTCTAAACTCCTCCCACGATAAACCTGACCTACCACAGCCATAACCACCCAACAGCTTCCCTTTCCTGAAATCTCCTAGAATAGGGAGGAATGGAAAATGTGAGAAAGAGGAAACTAGGGGCAGAAGGAAGAAGAGAAGGAAGAGATGAAGTGGAGAATTTCAGCTTCCAAGGAGGCCTCCTTTGGACCTTTACCTGCCCAACCTAGAGTGGTAACTCTGAGCCCAAATGACACGCAGGAGGAATTGTGAGCTTATAATAAAAGGATTGAAGTGTTAACTGAAGTTCATTGCCCGTCTTCACCCCATGAGCCCTCTCCCTCACCGTGAGACAGAACAGCACATGCGACCCTGAGTGGTCACTATTATGTAGCTATTCTGAATGTTTCAACCCCACTCCAAAATCAAGATCACAGGTTTATCAAGGAAGAACACACCTTATGTAAAACAAATAAAGAAAAACCAAAACAATAACAAAAACAAAAACCAAAAACAGTATATCAGAAAGCCACAAACTTATAATTTTTTTTATATAGCCTGATTATCTCCTTCATTTTCCCATTTAAAATTGTATGAATTCATGTTTTATCTCACAATCTTAAAATAGAATTCTTAAATGACATTTCCTGAACCCCGGTATAGTTTTAATTACCTATTCTCGGGCTCTAACTTCTCATGTTCAGCCCTGACCCTTCAGACTCACATATTCAACAGGCTGAAAAAAAAAAAACCAACTTTGGATTGCCATTGGTCCTTTAGGCTCAATATCTAGAAATGAATTTGCCAACTTCCTTCTATATTCCCTGTTTCGGTAAATGGCACCCAGACAACCAGACTGGAAACCTGTGAGTGTAGCACTTCGCTGCCTAAAACCATCATTAGCTCCCCATTACCTTTGGAATAGAGTCTGGTTCTGCAGTAAGGCAAAAAGACCTCTAGTTCTGTTTCTCGCCAGCTTTACCTTTTGTCACTCGTGCACTCTGGTGATAACTGAACTGATTCTAGTCCCCTGCACAGATCACGCACTTTTATTCTCTTTGCCTAGGACGTGCCTCTTACCTCTTTTTACCTGCGGGCCTATCGTTTAGGTAAGAAGCCCACGCCCGACATTCTCTACACCGTTTACTTATTCAGTTTGTTTGCTGCTCTGAGTCCCAATGGCATGTAAATTCCATCAGAGGAGGGATGTGATCTGTTGTGTTCGTTGCTATGTCCCCAGCATCAACCGCCGGATGAGCAACAAATCCATGATTCTGCAAATCTCCCATACCACAGTTTAATAAAATTTCATGTTTATGTGGCAGTTTTGTCATTGTTGTTTTGTTTTGGTTTTGGGGTTTGTTTTGTTTTGTTTGTTTTGCTTGTTTTGCTAAACAGTACATTTCTTGAGGGTAGAATCTATGAATTTTTGTATTCTTAGATCCTAATATCTTACGTAGACCCTAATATCTTATGTAGTGCCTCTAGCATAGTTGGCTCCTGATAAAGGTTTGTCCTAGTACACAAACATTTTTTCAGTAAAGAAAGAACCTTTATATTTCTTTGGATTCATAGACCTCGTTAACATTGTGATCCTGTGATCCTGTGAGGCCTTGAGCAGTTTATGGAACTTTCCTGCGCCTCACTACCCCCGTTTGTAAAATGAGAAGAAACAGATTCCCCACCTCGTAGACTTTTACAAAAAAAAATAAATGCCACAATCTGGAAAGTGCTTAGCACGGTGTCTGGCACAGAGAGCCACCCGAATTAGCGGCTGTCTCATTTCCATTGTGTCAATATGGCAATAATAACCCTCATATATAATGAATAACAGAAAAGTCTGGAAAGGGCATCCCCTCAAGAGAAGGGTGTTCATGGAATGTTCAGGAAGTTCTCCCGAGCATGAGGGACAGTCAGGAGAGGGAAGCTCTTCTTCAGTGGGAAGTTTTAGCAGCAGGCTCCTCTCCGTGGGGCCAGAGAAGCTTCCACAGCTGCACAATCGTGATTAAACAGGGCAGCTCTTTATCTCCCTTTGCTGGCAAACCTTCAGGAGACAGTGGAGTTTCCTATCTACTTACACACCCATCAAGCAGTTCAGCTTAAAAAGATGTATATGCAGATGTCTCTGTCTCCTGGGTGGTCAAATATAACCGGACTGAAAATCCATAACTCCAGCTTTTGCTCAATGACACTTTTTCAGATAACCACCTTCTGACCACCTTCTTTTTCCCTTTCCACCCTGAGAGGTTCTGGCAGGGGGTGGTTTTCCTTTGCACTTAAAACTGCAAGCTCCCTAAAGCCGAAGATTGATCATGTTTGTCCCCTTCACTGCTGGAACTGAAAGCCAGGATGCTGTCCAGACCCTGGTAAATGGTATCTGCTCTACAAATGTTTATGGAACAAAATTTTTGAATCCACTTACTGATATTGAATCCTACACTAGTCTGCAGAATAATCTTAGGATATAAATTATGCCAAGGAATTAAGGCATGAAAATATCCAGGAGAACTGTGTTATGTGAAGTTGTGTAATACATGAGCATAGCTGTTCTCATGGTCCCCATCCTGGACGCCGTCATTGGTCTGCTGGTTCTGTATGTTCAGAGCTGAGCAACAGATATCTGGAGGAGGTAGTTCTCCTTGGTGAGGAGTTAGACTAGTTTTAAGAAAGTGAGGCCCTTTCATCTCTGGTCTTTGCCAACGTGTAAATTCTCTGAAGGTTTTCCAAGGTATTCACAGGAGCGCTGTGACTATCAAATGCTTTCCAATGCACAAATTCAGTTCATGCATTCATTCATTCATCATTCATGCATTTATTTTGAGAGAGTGTGTGAGCGGGGTGGGGGGCGCTGAGGGAGAGGGAAAAAGAGAATCACAAGTAAGCTAAGTAAGCTCCACACCCAGCACAGAGCCTGACACGGGGCTCGAGCTCATGACCCTGAGATCATGACCTGAGCTGAAACCAAGAGATGGATGCTTAACCGACTGAGCCACCCAGGGGCCACACAGATTTGGATCTTTTACAGTTTCTGTGAGAATCAGAATGAAGCTTGAAAATAAGAAATGAATATATATATATTTTATTTTATTTTTAATTTTTTTACTTAAAAACAGGAATGAGGAAAGCAATGTACCTGAACAGAAGTCATCGGAGTATCTGTCATAGACAGCCCTACAGTCCCTCTCATCACACTCACAGGTGTCCCCGTGAATATCTCCCCAGTCTCCAGTTGGGTCAACATCGTGGCAAGAACACTCACCACACACACAAGTACCTAAGTGAGAAAAAAAAAATTGTATATGGTTTTAGTGAAGAAAAATCATGGAAGAAAGCATCTGACACATTGCTTTTTAAAATCTTTTGCTTATTGTGTATTTGGAAAATACATATATTGGAGGAAAAAAATTCTACCAAGGAAAAACAGCATCTAAAGTGGACAGTAGAGATTTTTTAATAAACAAAAGTTAGTATCTGTGTCTATAATTGTGTGAGGTTGTGGGACATGTCGTCAGCACGATTCTGGTTTCTCTCTAAAATAATATCAAAACAAGAACATGAGATAGAATCCTTGCCCTCAAGAAACTTGCCGTCTATTTGACAAAAAGAAAGCTAACGAAAGACTGTAGGGTCATGCACCGAAATGTAAAAGGTGGTTATATCTGAATGTTTAAAATATCCATATCTGTATTTTAAAAAACAAATACACGTAGCTCTATAATTGTTGCAGGGGCAGGGGGTGGGGGTGGGTATGTGCTCAAGTGGGTCCAGCGTGAAACTGAATGAGCCATTTGGGCAATGCAGGACATGCTTCTGTCCCCGATGAGCTGTGTCTACCACAGAGGCTTTTTTGGCTTTGGAGATGGGCTAACAAGGAAGATGAGGTAGGTCTGTGCAGGGATTGGTGTCTCTCTCTTGGCCCAGAAGCAATGATGGGGAGGAGTGCTAGGGGAAACATGGCCGTTACCTTCCGGGGGGAATAAAAGGACTCATGGCTGTGCTTCCCGGACTCAGACTCGCCTTCAGGAACCCCTGAGTCTCACTGCTAACCAGCCTCGTTCAGGCATGGTGCTTTCCTTTCTGCCTTTGGCGGATCTCCAAATCGGACCCCTCACGGGAAAGGGGAGGCAGGAGGTGAGACTGCAGAGAGGGGGTGAGTCATGTGTGTTTCTGAAGGACCTCTGTCTCTCAGAGCCCACCTGCTGCAGAACCCGGCCCTGCTCCACAGACCAACCATTTCCACTTCTCTCCTCACTCCTTGCAACACCTAGCTGCTTGCTTCCCATGGGGACACAGCACAAGCTGCATACCCTGACAGCATGATGGTGACCACTGACCCTACTGTATCAATAAAAAGAACTCAGGCAGCAACACATCCTTATATAGTAAAGGAAAACATAACATGAATGAGTACTATGATCTATAGTCAGACCGATTCTGCATAAATTAAAAAGAGGACTTTTCTTTATGATTTTTGCTCCAAGTTCAGGCCTTTTGCTTTCCTTTCCCTGCATACAGAAATGTGGCCCATTTTACTCTTCCACGTCAATGTTTTCTGCCAATTTTTCAAAAGATTGAATCGGTTGTGTGTTAAAGTTTTCCGTGGAAGCAGGATCTATTAAGAAGTACCATTCATTTATAGACATGAAAGAAAGAGTTTTCCAACTTTCTAGATTTTTATAATTTCATAGAAGGAAAAATGGTCACTTATTTATATCATCAGGTCGGCAAGGAACAGTCTTGCATGGTCCTCTTTTACTTACAGTAGAGCTAATAAGGGAAAAAATGACAAGTATTTTCAAGGGTTTTTAAAAAGTGTTGAAAACTGATTTGATTTGATATCAACAGTTAATTCACGTTAAATTACATTTTAGCAATACTAATATAATCTTAAAGTTCACATCAGAGGTCAGCATCAATTTTCTATGGCTACCTGACACGTAGTTTCTGTAACTCTTCAATATCATTTTTATTACTGCAGATAAAAGTGAAGCCACTCCAGATCAATTCTGAATGACAACCACGCCTTCGATTTACTCATAATGAAGACAAGAGAGTTTCTTGAATACTCTCTAGATAATTAGATGCTCATGCTGGAGATGGTTCTGTTAGTGAAGAGACATTTAGCAGAAGTATCTACAAGAATTGCCTTTTAGCTGTCCTGTGCTATTTCTGGATGGCCGCCAAAGAAATTACAGTCCCTACACTAACAACGGGTTCAGTGAAGCTTAAAGAACTATAGCAACTTTCTTATCCTTCTGCTTTTTTACTCAATAAAAAATGAGAGAGAAGACTGTTGGTATAGTATGGACTTACATCAAAGTCAAACACCATAAAAGACAACTTACTCCCATACTGAAGGAAATCCAGAGAAAAGGAGTGTTAACAATTAAGAGCTTTGTTCCTCCCCCCCGCCCCAACTCCGTAGTAACGTGAATGAATGACACACCTCTGTTACTGCAGATTTTGCCATCTGGAGATGTGCATCTTCGCTTGCTCTCCCAGGGGGTGATATCACACTGGAATTCACATTTATCTCCATGCCAACCAGACCCGCAATAACAGTTTCCACAGTAACACTTTCCATGGCCTTTACCCAAAATGAATTTTATAGAGTGAGGGGAAAAAAAAGCAACTTTTAAAAGCAAAATTAACTTTCTACCTCTTCATGATCATTTTTGCCTTTTGAAATAAAATATACCTGCTCGACAGTCCCTGCTTAAAATAATCAAGTTATAGATTTGCATATACCTATGTAATTATACACGCAAAGCAAGCCAAAGTGTCTTCTAACTTGTCCTAGCCAGGTAGCTGATTAAAATGAAAGAAATTTAAAGAAATGACATGAAAGACTGTGAAAGCCTATCTACTACCTTCCGATCTCAAAGGTACGGCATCCCAGTCAAATGTATGTAAGCATTCCTTCTGAGGGTATTTCTGGAATTAGTCATCCAAGTATTTCATTTGAAATCAACCACTGAGAAGCCAGGGGTACATATTTACTTGGATGCATAGTATTAATGACTGAACCATTTCTTAAACCAGGGGAAATATTTCATCTTTCCATTCAAATGTGTCCCACAGGCTGCTGTGTTCTACCACGAGGAAAAGAGGTTTTCCGTTAAATCAGTGTTTCGTCTTCCTTTGGGTCAATAAACTATCATGGACCCTTGGCCTCCCGATCAAATCCCCCTCCTATTTGTCAAGGGGACAGAAATGATAGGGAGGGGCGCCCCATCATTTTGTGTTCCGAAGCCACCATACCCCTCTGGCTCCTGCCTCTTATGAAACCTTACCCTGCTCCTTTGTACCTACTTCCCAGCAACCCCTCATGAGCTGTAACATCCTGGCTTCCTGCACCCCTACTGAGCAATCTTTCTGGCTCCCAGAAGGTGGCAATTCTATGTGCCTCAAGTCACTTGCCACGTTTTCTCTCTAAATGAGCTGTAATTTGGATTTCCATGGAAAACCTCTTATTAGCCTAACAGTCAATGATCGTTTCTACAACAAGTTTTCATTTTAATTTGTTCACATAGGCAAATGTAAGGGCTATCTAATCATTTCACCAGTGATAAAATATAGAGGCTATACATTTTATTTATGAACTCAAAAACATCTCTCCTGTACCCACACAAAATACATCCTGGGGCTGTCTCCTCAGGAACTTACACTGGAAAACAGCAAGACAACTGTGTACTAAAACCTTTTCTAGAAGTCAATTTTTTAAAAATTTTTTAAGACTTGATTAACTTTTTAAACCAGAATTTATTTCCTCTGAAATTTTAGGAAATTTATGTAAGGTGCTGCGTACGTAAGCATTACCATGACATTAACAAATAATCCCAAATCTACATTCTTCATACCCAAATTCTTTGTATATGTATAAAACTCAAAATTGAATTAGGGTTTTACTAAAACATCACTGAGATACAGGTGAATAAGGAAAGAAGAATCATGTCAAACTACATTTGTATGTAGATAGGAAAAATTAAGCAGATATCCTCACAACCCAAATGAAAATATTGTTAACAAGCCACATATGGATAATTGAGATAAAATACAAGCTTGGGAGAAACAAAACAAAACAAACAAACAAACAAAAAAAAAATACAAGCTTGGGACAATACACATTGCACACAATAAATATCCACTCTTTGCTTTGTATAAACTGATGGAGCGAGAAAATCTCCTTTTAAAGTGTTCCACTGATGGGCTGTGCAGTCACCTCTCAACAGATTGGTTTCATGCGAATGACATGTAGAAAATCTACAATCCCAGCCAATGTCACCCTCAGAGGAGGGCTGAAGTGTGTGGTCAGAGACTTTGCACCACGAAATGGCTTAAGCCTCAAACAAATGGAAATGGTTAGTGGCAAGGTTGGGAGTCAAACATTTCCTGTTGTGTTGCTTCCAGTTAAATGTTTACATTTACACATGCAAATAGACTTCGCTTTGGTGATGTGCATCAGAACACATTGCTCCAAGCATGTTCCCCACCTCTTTTTTGGTCCATCATAATTGAAAATGAAACATCAGGAGGATAGATACATAATATTTGTAGGTGGATTTACCTAACTCTTCTAACTATTTTGGATTGAGTCCATTAACAGAATTGTCTGAGCAGCATCTAGCTTAGGTCATTGCCTTGAAAAACGTAGCTTTTTGTATTTGTCTGTTTTATCTTGGTGGGTTGTACAGCAAGGAAACCAGAGGGAACCAAGCAGACCTAAAATAAGAGTATCTGGATGACCGTAAGAATTGAAACTACAATTTGGTTTTGTAAACAGAGGGAGAGCTGGTCCTCCTAAGTTAGTGACACTTTCTCTATGGCTCTCTGGCTCCTCCTGCCCTATTTGTCCCTGATCCTTCCAGGGAAAATTCTCTTCTGAAATCATCCATTCTGCATGCAGAATAGGATTCCATGCATTGGAATCTTGTCGGAGATAAATGAAATAAACAATTGCTTATTAATGGAGAGATGAGGCCAGCAGTAACCAGGCTGAAGCATTTACATTTATGTAAACTGAAGAGATTCTCGCTGCTCTCTCCTTTCCTCTCCTGTGCTAGCCATGGGTGCAAATATAAACTCTGGGAACACGCTTGCAGATAGGTAAGCAGAAGAGAAGGATACTCTGGGTGATGAGGAGGGGCTCTTCTCATGGAGCTCCAAACCCCAGGGCACTGATACAGCTCTCCATGGGTAGAGTCAAGGGCTCAGTCTTTGGTGTCCGACAGACAAGAGTCTAAATTCCAGTACTATTGCTGGAATGACCCTGGGTGTACTACCCAACGAACGTGAAGAACTTATTATAGTCCTTAGCGCTAGGAAGTGTGGCACATGCAATAAATGCTTCAGTAGAAAAATGGATTGAGTAATGGTGTTAGAAATACCCTAGAAAGACAAAAAAGATCACGAAAAATGTTAATCTAAGTATGGGGTGGCAAGGGACAGATTCTAGGCTAGTGATCCTTTGGGCCTCCAGTGTCTCCAATGGGACATGAAACTATTTAAAGGCTTATGATTTAGAAAGGGAAAATAGAATGAAATTAACACATGCAATTGAGAGACTGACTGGGAGAAAAGAGACAACATAAAAGTGCTGCACGAAGCAGGGAAGATGAAGTACCGGTAGGATCACTCTGGAACCACACAGTTGGTTGGTTGCTATAATGATCGGGCTCTCCCCTGGGAACAGTCTGATTTTGCATTTAAAAAGTACTAGTCTACCCTAAATGCCTTATATGAGGTGTTCTCCAAATAAACATAAATTCAGATTAAATGAGTAAACAGTGCAGGAATGTATAGAGTGACAAAAGTACAATAAAACAGGTGGAAAATCAAGGACTTTTACTAATTTCTACGAAGTTAGTATACCTACCTCCACATATTTCTTCTGTTTCATCGTCTATGCATTCTCTATCGTCACACTCACAAAATTTACCATAAACGAGGCCGTTTCCATCTGGATTATCACACTTACACCTGCCACAGTGACATGTACCTAAACCATTTAAACAAAGCAAAAAGTATTTCTTAAGTGCATATAAATGATCATCGATGATTTTTAAACTCTTTCAGAGACAGAAAAAACTCAAATCAATTTAATATTTCAATTATGTAATTCTGTGGGTAGGATGAGATAGATAACAACATTCTTACTTGATGATTATAGTACAACAATTATATTTTATGGCACATAGCTATTATGATTGACCTCTAATAGTTTCATGAATGGAAATTTGACCTCCCCAAGTGCAGAGCTACTTCATACATGGCCATCCAATCAATGCACGAATGACTATCTTGCAATTACACCTGGGTCTGAAGTGAACTAAAGCAGAAAATTCTAAGCTTTGTAAGGGAAGTAGCCTTGCTTATCTTCCTCACCAGTATTTATTCAATGCTTTGCACAATATTTGAGCATACTATTTATATAATAAATATTTGTGGAATTCATTATCAAATGCATAAATGAAAAACTTAGAATCTCCTAATAATTTCACCTCTACAGTGTTAAGCTGATCCACACATCCTTATGACAATGGAACCAGAGCAGGTTTTCTCAGGTATAGTGTCCCGGGACCTCACCAAAACCTCAAGGAGGTTCACAGTGAGTGACACAGAGGCACTGGAGTCATCTGGTATACCATACGCCATAGACTCTGCCAACTTTGAGGATTTGACTACAACTCCTGAGAGTGATCTCACTGACAGTAAAACAGCACTCAAATGATATTGAGAAGTAGAATGTCCATTTAAGGAACCCTCTTCTTAATACTTATTTTTCCATTTTTAATCAATCATCATAGCAACCAACAAATATGAACTGAGACTTTACCACTCACCAGATCACATCCTAGACTGTGGAAACATAATGGGAGATCAAGTCAGCCATAATCCTCCTCTCAGAGTTTGATATGAGAAAACCAAAGTGATAAAATAAATGGAGAAGTGCAAAGTGTTGCAGAAGAGCTTAGCAGGGGATTTAACTGAGACCTGGTAATCAGACAGAGAGTCCTTGGGCAAGTAGATCCTAAACGAGGTACTGAGAGCAAAGTAAAAATAATAGGTAAGAGAAGTGAGATGGTGGGGAGGCCCACTTCCCGCAAGAGACAACAGCAAAGGCTCTGTGGTAAAAGTGGAAATAAGAAGAAAAAGTCCAAGATGGCTAGAACATAGGAAATGATGTGGAAAGTGGCATGAAATGAATAAGGCATGTGGAGGTGCAGTTTACGGAAGTCTTACAGTTCATGTTAAAAACTTCCAACTTTAATCCGAGAATAATGAGAAGCCATAGAAATACTTTCAGCCAGGGAGTCATGTGATCACGTATGCATTTTTACCAGATTACGCTAGGTGTCATATGCAGAATGAAGTGAAATGAAGTGCAGTGGATATGAGAATAGCTTATCACATTTGTCTATAGGGAAGAAGGGATAGAGGCTGACCAGGGTGATGGCAATGAGTTGGAAAGAAGTGAAAATGCTCAGGGGTGTTTTCAGGAGAAGGGACAGACGACTCAGAGACTGCGTATGAGTGGTGAAGGATCAGGAGGAACTGAAGAGGATATTGATGTTTGAACTGAGCTACTGGATATTGGCAAGTCTGTATGTGATGGGCCAGAAAGGGCATGGATTTAGGACTAAGGTGGATTTGTAGCCAAATCCGGGTTTTAATAACCCGTACTATACATTTTTGAGGTCATTATGTTCATCTCTAATTCTTAAATTGCTTCTCTGAAAATAATATCTACCTCATAGAGCTGCTATGAGAGCCCAGTGGTAAATATATCACCCAGCCATCCTTCTGAAAACAGTTTGTTCAGTTACATCATAGGTTTTCAGAAAACTGCGGGTTCTTCATCTTCTCCCATAAAGATACTGAATATATGAGTCATGTCCTCAAACATTTCCCCTAGACTTTCTGTATATTGACAGACCCCACGACGTCCTGTCTTCATACCCTCTGCATGATTCTGGTACCCAGGTCATTCCCAATTAGCTATTATCTTGAAAAAGTTTTTTCTCTCACAGTCACATAGAAATGGTGATTTTGCAGAATTTGAGCTAATTATTTTTCCTCCTTGAGAATACTCATGAATTTTACATTTATTAAATTTCCTTTTCTTGTATGTGTGTTTTTTCCTGAAAACTATTTTAAATTATAAAAGCTCATTTCAAATCAAATGCTATAATTCATGGTACTGCCTCATCTCATTTTTTCTCTAATTATCACCCTTCTTTTTCATTTTCACATTTATTCATGCTGTCTTTTAACCATCCACATAACCATTCATTAAATTTTCTTGCTGCCTACTATGCTGTTGGCAAAGTACCAGGTGCTATAGGAGATAATAAGAAAATGAAAACTAAGTCAATCACAGACCAGGAAGAAAGAGCTTAGACGATCAATAATTTTTACACATATGTATGAGACCAGATGACGTAAAGGCATTTGCAACAGATCTGTGACAAATACCATATAGGAAGTATAAACCTCAGTCTGGCTCTGTAAAGGAGGAAAGGCCCAGTAAAGGAGCAAGTTCTTGAGTTGGCACTTGATGTATGGATAGAATTTCAACAGGTAGAGATGGAGAAAAGGCTTGCGATGTTGAGGAAGGAGCCTCAGCTAAGGGATAAGGATGTGGAATTAAAGAACAATGCAAAGTCTCGCTTGGGTTTGGATAAAAGGGCCAGTTGAAGGCAGAGAGTAGAGGATCAAGAATATTGGCCAAGGACTTTAGAATTTATCTGTTGGAATACCAGGAGCCTCTCATCGTTTGGAAGCGAGGTATAACATCGTCAGGGCAAAGAACGGAGGAGCTGTTTTCAGGAAAGACAGGAACAGCCTCTACCTTTGAATTCTGTAACTTCTCACTGACACCCTGACGGGAAAGCTCACTCCCATCCACACATCTGAACCATTTCTGGCTAATGTGGGACGTTTACAACAGCTCAGAGACTTCCTGTCTCACCCATCATGTAGAATTCACAACTGAGGCTCCAAGATATGGCAGATGGAAGCCCAGGCAAAAGCGACAGACTCCTGTGTTCATGTGATGTCATACTGCTTCTCTTTCTTAGTTGCCAGTGAGCTCAGTCTCTAGGACTGGTCTTTATGCTTTATGCTAGATTATTTTTGCTCTGACTTTTCATTCTGATTAGTAAAGCGCTCTCTCTCTAGGAAGACTTCCCTGTCTTGAACACCAACCATACTCCTGTGCAATGGCACTGGAGCCCCACTTTGCTCTGCAGGCTGCCCCTTGCCTTCTGGACCCCTCTAGAGTCAGCTTCTGCAACTCCTTTAGTCCCCAGCTCCATCTCATCCTGACCTGCAGTCGGATGTCCCAGTCTAGCTTCCTCCTCTTCCCCTTCTGCCCCAAGCTGCTTCCAGGAAACCACATTGTGATATAAAATGGGGAACAGTTAGTAGAGAGAACTCAGAGCCTAATGCAGTTTCGGGGGAGTGGTCCAGAACTAGGCTGGTAGAAATAGACACTAAAAGAAGCCATGTGAGAATAAGATTGCTGAAGTCAACTTGAAAGGCTTCCATACTGAGTACAGAGTAAGAGAGAAAGATTAACTGAGATCTTATGTCACCTGTATAGAGCTGAGTCCTATGCATCTGAAAAAAGAACGAGCAAGATTTCTATGCACTGATATGGAGTGAATTCCAGGAGATGCTGAGTGGCAAAGGCAGAGTACAAAAGAGCATATATAGCATGCTACCTTTTGTGTAGGGAACAAGTGAAAAACCAAAAAACTAACACATACATCTAGCTATCTGCCTTTATTTAAAATAAACATATACACAGATAAAGCAGAATGCCATAAGGTTGGTTACCTATCAGGTATGAAGAAAGCAGGAGGGAAGGTTTAGGAAGAGAATGATGATTTGCTAAGTATGCTTTTTTTATATAGTTTTGACCTTTGGAAGCATGCTAATGTTCTACATATTGCAAAATAAAATAAAATCAATAAGGATGGAAAGGAGGAAAAAAAGTCTAAAACTGAAAGCAATCTGAAGTAAATAACCTTAATTGTATTTCAAATGAGTACAATAACTACACTAAAGGGAGACAAAAAGAAAGAAATCCAAGTAACTTATGAACACAGCAATTAACTAAGTACCCCAATCTTGAGCATGGCTGGCATGGGGTGGGGGTGGGGGAGGAGGTCAATTGCAAACAAATCCCAAAATGCTTCGGTAGACTTGTTTTGTATATTGGTATGCATGAAGCTATCCTAAAAACAATTTTAGATGTAGTATAGGACTGAGCAAATGAGTAAATATATCCATGATGTTGGGAGCCAGAATTCTCACCATGAAAAATGGGTGAGACAGCAGATAACTTTGTGGGGGTGGATTGGAGTTGGATGTATTGGTGTGACTTCATGATTTCTAAAATATGTCTGTGTATGTATGTGCATGTACATGTATATATATGCTCATGAACGTTTACTAGCCTGTTTATAGAAAAGGCCAAGAAGCAAATTCATCCCAGTAGAAATAAACATCCCTAGTGCTCACAATTTTTATTCTACTATCATTCTTCACCTAAAGGAACCAAGGCTCTTTAGAGAAATGGTTGATTCCAAAGCTGTGGCAAATCAGGTACAATATGACTCTGGAATATTCTGTTATGCCAGAAAAGAAAGAATTGCTGAAACAAAACAAAACAATGGAGGCATGTCACAAGGACTGAGAAGCTAGCTTGAAGGGGCTCCAACCGCCTCATCTGGGACCAGAGTAATTAAGTTCAGTAATGAATAATAAACCATTGAAATAATAGGAACTGTGATCCTGGACTGACAATAAATCACTAAGTAAATGAAATATCCAATAATTGGTAGATGAGAGAAGACTCTTACTTGTGGTAGAATGTTGAGTACCAACTAGTAAATAGGGAGGCAATATTGGAGTTTGGAAATCATCATTTTTCAATCACTAGTGTAAGCACTGGATCATGTGAAAGTCATCAATGGATGGTAAATCAGGGGTAATTTTGACGAGGATATGATGTCTTATAATTTCTAAGTGTTTCCCAACAGACTGCTCATTTGTTACAAGGGCAAAATCAGTAATTACAGAGCTGAGACATCAGACAACACCTTGACCATGTGATCAAAATTAATCTCACCAGTGAGAGCAGATGGATATCATGGACTTCCAGATGACACATCCTGAGAACATAAAATCATCTATCTGGTGATTCAGCTAAGAATGTATGACATGAATCTAATCATGAGGACACATCAGACAAAGCCAGAACGAGTAACATTCTATTAAAAAAAAAAGGTTGGAGACAATTTTCTTCAAAATTTTCAGTGCTATAACACCATAGTCTGTGGAAATGGTCCAGATTAAAGGAGGCTAACAAGAAATGAGAGCTAAATATAACTCTGCCCTAGACTGGATCCTACGGAGGCAGGGAAATTCTGTAAAGCACATTGTTTGGTCAGTGAATGAAACTGGAATATGGATGGTAGATTACATAAAAGTATTGTACCAATGTTAAAAAAAAAAAAAAGATCGAGGCTCAGATACCTTAAAACTGTGTTTTATATCTTATCAAGTATGTTTCATCATCTGAAACGATTCTGTAAATTTCTCCTTTAAGGTATGTTAATGTAGCGAATTGCATTGTTTTTTTACTTAATGCTGAAACATTTGGATTCCGAAACTAACCCCTTTTTGTTTATAATGTATTATTAAAAAGAAAAAAAACTAGATTTGATTTGAAAAATAAACAACAAATAAATAAAGTCAAAAATAAAGAACAAAGAAACAAAACAGAATTCAGGTTTTATTATTGAAAGAAGTTTGGAAAGCTTGACATTTTCAAAACAATGAGGCTATACGGTAAGCATGTAAGGCTGTGTGTGTGTGTGTGTGTGTGTGTGTGTGTTTGTAGGGGTGGGTGTTAGGAACTGGAGGTAAAAAAATCCTACAGAGAAGACAGAAAAGACTAAGGTGCTGAAGTGAAGCAAGGAGAAGATCCGTGAATAGAGTAAGCAACCTGACTGTTAAGACCATTTGTCAGGGTGCCTGACATCCACTCATACCTTGCTTTGGGTATGGCCTTGATTCCTACTAGCAAAACACTCTTACTGCACTTAATCTACACAGAGCAATTCATTGCAATCAGACTGTGGAAAGATGATAGCTCTGAACATAGAAGGACTCTACCTACAATGGGAACTTCAAGAGGGAAGATAGTCCTCTTGTAGTCAAATACTTGCCTTTAGCATGCAAAACAAGGGCTCACACCCTGTGTTTTCCAAAAGAATTACTGGGAGAGCTTTAAAAAACCCCTGCATCCCAGACCACACCCACCAAAACAACTCAATCAAAGCTTCTAGCTTTGGACAGGACAATTCCCAAATTCAACCAGCCTTAAGAAAAAGTGGACTTTTGAGGTTCCATGTGCCCAAATATGAAAAGAGTATTTAATTACAGTAATACCAGCTAAGCATTAATGAAACCAAACCAGTTGCTTTGTTTTATATCTTCTGGGTAATTAATTTTAACAGTTTTACTATAAATTTCTAAAAAATATTTTTATATGACTTGAGATGCAAAAATATTTTTGCCAAACATAAAATCGTGATGTCACTATATTTTCCCATGAGTTTCACACCCAGTGCATCTAAAGCTTCTATCAAACTAAAAAGCTTTGGTTCTATTTGATGTTAAGGTATAAATTCAAAGAACCCTTGATCTGTAATAGAAAATAATTAAGTCAGCTTATATAAATCCTTTTTAAAAGATTTAATCCAGCATTCAAAATCATGGCTCACAATTTACATCAAATGTTTTTGGGGTGTTGTTTGCATGAATATCCTGCTTGAAGAAGGCATTTGCAACAGCTGGAGAGCATCAAACTTGCCAGTCTCAGCAAGATGACATTTTCCCCCTATTGATTTATCTGCATTTCATTTCAAAAATATATATATACTCAAAAGCAGTCTCTCTCAGAGGTTCCACATTTCTCAACAGCTACCTATTTCCATGAAAAACCAGGATGTGATTATTTAAGAATTTTCATAGGATAGGGGCACCTGGGTGGCTCAGTCGGTTAAGCGTCTGCCTTCGGCTCAGGTCATGATCCCGGGGTCCTGGGATCGAGCCCCACATGGGGCTCCCTGCTTGGTGGGAAGCCTGCTTCTCCCTCTCCCTCTGTCCCTGCTTGTGTTCCCTCTCTCGCTGTCTTTCTCTCTGTCAAATAAATAAATAAAATCTTAAAAAAAAAAAAAAAAGAATTTTCATAGGATAGATTTCTTACCTGCATTAGAGCAGATGACATCTTGAGAATTCTTGCACATCTGGTTACTCTTTTTCTTCGTCAAGTCACAGTGAGTTGGGTACTGGCACGCTTCCCCAAACCAACCTTCCTCACATTTGCACTTGCCACAGTCACACTTCCCATGGCCTGAGAATTTAACAACATCCCGTTAGACTCGAATTATTTTCCAAAGAAACTTAAGGGTAACGTTGGCTCAGGACTGAGCTCTAATAAATTCAAACACATATACATTACAGAGGCTGAGGGGTAATGCTACTGTTTGACAGTATAACATAGCATGTGGATTTTATTTCAGTAACCGAAGTTGATAAATCATTCTAAAACCATTAATTAATTTGTAGAGACATGAGGATGGATAATAAACCAGAAGTTTAATTATACGCTTGGTCAGAAAATTTAGTACTGAAAAAAGATCCATCTAGCACCTCCACATTTAAGACACAAAACCCAATAAAAATTATTTCCATTTAACTGCATTTCATAACACATAAAACCACCAACTCTGATTAACAAATCTTACATGAAACTCCAACAAACCAAACATTGGCTTAGACCTATTGGAATTTAGAATGTAATAAAGTTTAATGGATATTTTAAATACCATCTTGGAATATGATTGACATAAAAAATAATTACATATTTTGTTCCTTAATGAGACAATTTGGTTCAAGAATCAAAAGGATAAGAGCCACAGTCATCTACCTCCACAGAAATTTCTCAACTTTTCATGTTCTCAAATCAACATTGTGCCACTTTTATGTTGTGATAATTAACTTTATTAAGTCTTGGTTGATGAATCCTACTAATGTTTTTATTGACTACACACTAGTCCTTCCAAAGTACAATACTGGGCTCTTGTCTTGAAGTAACTTAACAAGTTCAAAGTTGAGGCCAATATACAAAGATGGTGTTATCTTCAGCCAGAAATGTTTGTCAGACCCTGTGTTAAGTTGAGCAATATGCCTCCTGTAGAAATAAGAAGGGAGAGACTCTCTGAACTTCCTTGACCTTTAACTGAGCAGTTTGAATGGGCTACAGGGAGAGTATTCTTATATTACTCAAAATAATAATGCTCTGTCCCAATGCCTGAAGTTCATAGACCACAGAATGGAATCATTGATCTAGTGCCAATAGTCATTCACTGTAGCAGCCAAAATCTACATGATGAGGTCCAGATGGTTGGTCAGAATGAATGGCTCAGAGGTGTCCCATTTGGGCATGTTCAGCAGAGCCTGACTCTATGATTGGTTGTGACTTTAAAACTCCTCTGAATGTTGCCCAGTCCCTGTAAATGTTTCTATTCCTGTTGCATTTTTCAAATTAATTATTCTATTTTGCAAACAAAACCTTGCATGCACCCTAATTGTAATTCATTTTATCCAGTGCACATTACTCTCAAATTGATTGTATTGTTTTGCATTCTTGTCTGGCCCTACATGATACTGTCAATCTCGGCCAATTTGGTATCATTTACAAGCATTAGGTGATCTCTCCTGCCAACCATCCAGTCTATTTATAAAAGTATTAAGCCAAATTCTTGAAGTAGCTAAGTCTTTTTTTTGCTAAGTCTTTTGTATCTTGGTAACTATAATTACTCTTTGATAATATTAGCATATTAGGTTGAACCACATGGATTGTCACTATTATTAGTTTAATATCAGCTATTTCTTATGGTCCATCCTAATAAAATGTGGCTTCATATCCATAGCAAAGAAAATAGAAGTGATTTAGAAGATAATGAAATGCAGTAGTAATGATTTGCTGAATCTATAATAAAAGAACACTTAACACTTCTTTTACATTGGATGGGACATCTCAGACCCTGACTAAAGGTATATATAACAGAAATGGATAATGGTGGGTAGGCCAAAAGTTACAGATTTTTTTACAGTGGAGTAAATCTTAGAAATAGGGGGAAAATAAAAACATGTACAGATGATAGGGAGAAACTCCTCCATCTCAGACTGACCCAATGAAGCATTAGTAGAAATAATATTCTAAGGTGTTCACACCCCGAAGTTAGCTCATGAGGGCCCAGGTTCAGAAACTCCTTCCATAAAAGGTTCTGTGGTTAAAAAAACAAACAAACAAACAAACAAACAAACATGGGAAAGAGAACCACTATATTCTTCTTTTAGTGGGTCATGATATAAATCAGCACACTGAAGCTTCTTCATGTCCTGTTGTGAAAAAGCTATTTCGCTTTTGCTCAGAATACACAGTATTTCTTACAAGGGAGCCTCTTTCTCTCATAACTTATATGAATTTCCTAAACCATACTTAGACCAATACTGTAGTACATAACGTGCTTTCAGCTTTTCATTTAGCATCTGATCAGAGGCGAAGATGACAGCCAGTGTATGACAGGGTCATCTGCCTTTACATTTTTCTGAACTTTATACCTAATAAAGGCCTCCTTGATTCACTTTTGCCCATTTAGGAAAGTGAATAGAAATCAATTTTTTTACTGTCAAGAATTATCAAGTAGGGACGCCTGGGTGGCTCAGTCGGTTAAGCGTCTGCCTTCGGCTCAGGTCATGATCCCAGGGTCCTGGGATCGAGTCCCGCATCGGGCTCCCTGCTCCGCGGGGAGCCTGCTTCTCCCTCTGCCTCTGTCTCTCTCTCTCTCTCTGTCTCTCATGAATAAATAAATAAAATCTTTTAAAAAAAAAAAGAATTATCAAGTAATACCCTGTATGACCTAATTTGGAGGTAAATATATAATTTGTTTTAAGATAAAAAATAATCTTCAGACTATTTTTACTCTTTCTCTACAATTAGTAATTTCTTGAGCAGAGCTCAGGGAATTAGGTTGCTACATTATTGTACCTATGGTATGCAGCTCATCTCCATCACAGTGTCACAAATTTGGCTTCAAAAAAAATTCCATTTTTCAAAATAATTTGCCCGTTGGGAATAGATGGCCCAAAAGAACCAAAGCAGAACCCTGAATCAGGAGGCCCAGAAGAGGGCTCTGATTGCCCAACGTTGAAGGGTGGTCTTTGCTGGCTACATGAAATCCCAACCTGCAAAACATTCACCATTCCTGCCTGTCCCCATTCACCTCTCCAGTTCTGTTTCTTCTCCAGATAACTCAATTCACACTTAGAAAATGTGCTCTTAAAATGAACAATCCAACATGCTTGGCAATAAATCTGCTGCCCTTCCAATAAATTCCCAAGGAGTCAGGAGAAAACCCCCACACACAAAACAAGAATGTCAGAGAAATGTCAAAACAAAACAACTCCTACCAAAGTAATAAGGAAGAAAAAGTAAATGGCTTTTCCTGTTGCTTCCAGGATTGTCAGTGGTGTAGCCAGTCGCTGGAAAGAGAAGACCGGCCATGGTGGAGGGTAAAATCCAGTAGTTAGCCTCCTATTCAGGGAAGAATGTGGAGGCCTGGAGGCTTTCACTGGGGCTTCCCCGAGGTGAGCTGAGCCTTGCCTTGATCTCCACAGATAAAGAAGCATTTCAGCAAAGACAGAATAAACTCAGTTTTGTGATGCTTTAACGCTGTCAGCAGCTCCACCATTACTTCTGGAATGGAAAAGCACTAATCGACTCCAGAGGCAGTGGTGAGGAATTTAATTAATGCACAATGGAGAAGTTGCTGCTTTTTATTTTTTAAATTAAAACAAACTATAAACAAATGGAAATACTTGACCAGTATTGAAGAACTTTTTTTAAAAAGTCAATTAGCCATTTGTATATACTAGAGAAAAATAATTGTACTTTTCTTTTCCAAGTAAGAAAAAAACTAATAAAGATGAGGGGACAGCACCGAACTCTCCTCCAAGTCTACTGATATTCTGGATAAAAATAAACTGCCAAAACTAATGTGCCCATCAGATTAGCTTTACATCTTTGGTTTCAAGTCTTAAAAAGGTAAAAAATAGATAGTTAGATAATAGATGCACAGGTAGGCTGGTAATAGGTATAAGATGAAAGGATAAAGAAGATGTGGTATATGCATACAATGAAATGTTAGTCACCAGAAAGAAGGAAATCCTGCTGTTTGGGACAACAAGGATGGCTCTTGAGGGCATTATGCTAAAGCAGAAAGAGAAAGACAAACACAGTATGATCTCATTTATATGTAGGAATCTTAAAAAAAAAAAAACAAAAACAACTAGGGGCACCTGGGTGGCTCAGTCGTTAAGCGGCTGCCTTTGGCTCAGGTCATGGTCCCAGGGTCCTGGGATCCAGCCCCATATTGGGCTCCCTGCTTCTCCCTCTCCCACTCCCCCCCCACCCCCCGCTTGTGTTCCCTCTCTCGCTGTGTCTCTCTCTGTCAAATAAATAAATAAAATCTTAAAAAAAAGAAAATAAAACCCAACTAAACAAACAAAAAAACCGCAAGCACATAAAAAAAGAGATCTGGTTTGTGGTTTCCAGAGGCAGGGGGTCAGGGAGAGGAGTCAGAGGAAGGTGGTTGAAAGGTACAAACTTCCAGTTAGAAGAAGCACTTGGTATGCAACGCACAACATGAGGACTATAGTTGACACGGCTGTATGGTATATGTGAAAATTGTAAGAGAATAAATCCTAAGAGTTCTCATTACAAGGAAAAAAAAAAAAACCATTGTTTTTGTGCCTATATGAGATGATGGGCATTAACTAAATTTACTGTGGTCCTCATTTCCCAATGGATGTAAGTCAAGCCATCATGCACCAAACTTACACAGTGCTACATGTCAATTATATCAAAACAAAACTGGAAAAATCCTGATTATTAATTATTATTTCATGAATACAGACAATAATTTTATCATTTACGTCTTAACATTTAGATGTTAAAAAATGATTCTTTCTGGGTGTCAGATAAGCTAGGGGAAAAGCATTCTAGAGCCTCATGGTAACCTTGAAACAGATATTTTAATTTGAGCACTCAGTTGGCCCTGCGAATCTATTTGCTTTGGTCAAATATGTAAAGTCCCATGACCTGCATTGTGTCCTACTTTCCAGGGCATTCAAACAAGCTCACTTAATAAGAGACACACTCAAGTTTTCTCCTATTCCTTGTGAGTCACTATAAATTCCCCCCCGTCTCTGGGTATAAAGAAATAAAAGCACTAGCTATGCCACACCTAGAATTCTAAGAAAAGATTGTGAAAGGACCCCTTACAC